AAATGCTATTTCTAAATTTAAATTTGTCAGTATTATTTCCAAAAATATAGTTTTCAAATATAAGTTTTCGGAAGCTATTTTAAATGCTAATTTTTATTAAAACTTTACAATTAACAATTGTGTTCTTTGAAAATTTATATATTTTAAATATTCATATTTTCATTTTAAAATGGATAATTAAATCGTAGCCTTTAATACTGTATTAGGAAACTTTAATATTTTGGGTGGGTATTTAATCATATTTCCAAATGATTAACCATTATATCAAAGATTACAAACTTATTTGGTAATTAGAATATTATCTAAATATTAAGATCTTTTTTAGGTGATGAGAAACGTAATTACCTTAAAATGTGCAATTGTTATTCACCATTTATATTTAATTATACACAATTAATTTAGATTTCTAAAATATGCATGTATCATTATTATAGTTTCCTAAATAAGGGGAATTTTTAGTAATTGATTTTTTTTTAATAGTTAATGTCCATATCCAAATTTTAGTCCAAAAATTAAGTATCCATCATTTTAATTTCGGGTTATTTTTCTGTTTTTGACCCGACCCGGAAGTACTTTTGTACTTCTCTTTTACTATAGTAGGGATTACAAAATACATACACCAATAACAAGAGATTTTATTAAGAATCTAAGAATCCGTACACCAATAACAATAGAATCTTAAACTCCAAAAATCTTTAAAAGTCATTTTCCCAATAACCCCCTCGTAGAATATGTAGAATATGTTTCCTTATTCTACATATACTCGTTATAGAATTTGTTTTATTCTACATAATTTTTTTATTTTCAAATTTTCATTCAAATTGGTGCTTTGGTTCATATAATTGTAATGATAATGATGATTGAAGAAGAGTATGATTATTATGAGGAAATAATATTAGTAATATATACACTTCATGTCGCAGAATATTTCTTCTACTTTTGTTCTTTCATCCACATACACTCAATAACGTGTTCGTTCGAGTTAATTATTAGTATATAGCAAAAGATACTCGTTATAAAAGCTTGTAATGTTTTGGTTTTCCAATTTAATTCAATCATTTGGTGAATTGTTTAATCCGAAGTATACCTTATGGACAATAGATATCAAGTAGCCCATTTAATTTAAAAAACACCAAAACAAAAGATGTCTAGCTACTTCATTCCTCTTGTTGGTTCCTGCATGAACAAGTCACTGTACAAGAGATTCCCTCTCTAAAGACTCAATTATTTTGTATGAACCAAATGATTTGTTTCATGGATAAAAAATATATATTATATTTTGTAACCAAGAGAAGTAAAATAGAAACCAATGACGGTAATTCAAAATCTATTTCCCACTCTAATTAACATAGTGGATCAAGAAAATTAAATCAAAATTTAAATATAAAGAGAAAAATTATAAATTATTGACAAATAATTTGTATGTTCATCATAAATTTCGTCGAAATCTAATAAACGTTAAGTCAAACATTATAAACCCTAACCATTATCGTAATTTTCGTGGAAACTAATAAACTGTAAACCTTAATAGCCATATATGTCGATAAATTTTGTCGAAAATCAAATTTATCAAAACCTTAGAGAAAATTGAGTAACCTCAAACCAAATCGAAAACAAAAAAAAAAAACATTTACATAAATATATCAAATGAAAGAAAATGAACAGTTCGACTATAACTAATTGGGTGTATATATACTTAGGTATACACTTCAACTCTACACCAAATAATAATTACTTGCTAATAGCACCTAAAAGCTACACCAACTTGAATGAAAATTTTGAAATAATAAGATTATGTATAGCCAAAAAAAAAAAAAAAGAAACACGAGTCTCATGACTTAACAATGAGTAGTCTATAGTCCCCAGCTAAGCACATTATATTGTCTCTTTTCACTGAAAGATACATACATAAAAAGAAAACATAAAATTCAACAAAAGTCTTCTTTGACAATGACTTTGTTTCCTTTCTTTTCATTTCCGTCGGTTCTAGCCCTCTCTCTATTTATGTATTAGTCTCTGCACATATCTCAATTCCATTTTCTCAAAACCTTTTTTCTTTGTTTGTTTCTTTCAACATCATTGCAAAGACATGAAGAGGTCACATTCTTGTTGTTACAAACAAAAGCTTAGAAAAGGTCTTTGGTCCCCTGAAGAAGATGAGAAGCTTCTCAATTACATCACAAAACATGGTCATGGTTCTTGGAGTTCTGTCCCTAAACTCGCCGGTAAAACTCTCTTTTCCCCCGAAAAACGCGTAAAAGTTGTGTGTTTTCTTCCTCTTGAGTACTAGAATTGTCTGAATCCTACAGGTCTCCAAAGATGTGGAAAGAGCTGTAGACTCAGGTGGATCAATTACTTAAGACCTGATTTAAAGAGAGGAGCTTTCTCTTCAGAGGAACAAGACCTCATCGTCGAGCTTCATGCTGTTCTTGGAAACAGGTAACAATCACAATATACTCTGTTTCTGAAACAGAGTATTTTTAATGAAATCTCCCCTGTTTTTGATTTGTATCAGATGGTCACAAATTGCTGCGAGGCTTCCGGGGAGAACCGACAACGAGATCAAGAACTTGTGGAATTCGTGTATTAAAAAGAAGCTTAGACAAAAAGGCATCGACCCAATAACTCATAAACCTCTCTCCGAGGTTGATGGAGACACAAACATAAGCTTTAACCACAGTTCCACAAGCTTCTCTTCAGAAAGTAATCAAGACTTCTTTGTCAAGGAACCATCTGACTTTTCCGACTACTTGGCGTTTCAGAAGCAAGACACCAACTCTGTTTCGCAATCTTCCATGATCGATGGTTCTTCTGTCTCAATTTCAGGATTTGAGACACAGAGTTACGTGAAATCATCGATTCCTCCGCGAGACAACACTTCAAGCACTATCTCTGGGGAAGATCATGTACAAGTGATAGAGCCTACTTGGGAATCAAACTTTGGAACCACTAGCCACCTCGACAACCCTAGTCTGGAAGAAATGAAATGGTCCGAAGAGTATCTAAACGAATCGCTATTCTTGAACCCGGTTTACGTGAAATCAGAGACAGATTTTGACTCCAACATTGCGTTTCCTTGGAGCCAAAGTCAAGCTTGTGACGTGATCCCCAAGGATCTTCAGAGAATGGTCTTCTCTTTTGGTCAGACCCTTTAGTTTCTTACCAGGTTTAGATATGGGTTCATATGAATACGTATAATGGGATCAAATGTTCTATTTGGTCACAATTTTTTTAGTTTGATAATTTTATTTTTTGTGCAATACATTTGTTGAAAATATCATCATGATGCTGTCGACAAATCAGAAAAGTTAAGTGTTTTCTTAATCTATTAAATGAGAAAAGAAGAAACGCAAATGCAATGCATTATTGTAAAGAAGAAACCTATTTCCTTAAACATATTGTGGTCCAAAGTCACTTCTTTCACAATTATTCAGACTTCAGATACCTATAACCAGATACAAGACAATAGCAAAAGATTTAGAAAATGACTTATTTGAAATCACTAAAACAAACGAATAATTTTTAGAAATCCTAGTAAATTCCTTTAAAACTCTTATTATTATTATTTTAAATCCTTATAAATTTAAACACCTTGTAAATCTGTAAACTCCCTTTAAAAATCTTTTACAAAACTTTGTAAACCCTTTTGAAACCTTTATAAACTTCGAAAACCTTATAAAAACTCGTGTAAAAATCTTTTAAAAACCATTTATATGACATGATATCTGCGTCATATTACATGTGTTGTCTATGTCATCAAAATTTCTTGCCATCATAGTAGGCTACAGACTCTGTGACCAATTTCTATGATACATTGGTATTGGGCCTACAATTGTTTTGGAATTTTTACTAACAAATATAGGCCTCAAAAGCAAATTTTTATTGCAAATTCATTTTATTTATTTGTTATTGCAAAAACTGACCATATTTTATGAATTATTGAGATTTGGTCTTAACTTTTAAATTTTATCTACAAAATTCAATTACAAAAAAAAATTGTGTGTATTGGACCTCATATTATGTTGGACCGGCCCTGGGCCAAATTATGTATGATTTTGCAAAAATCGATAAATATGTATAATAAATTTTTAAAAAAAGTATTTAGTTGATGTATGAATTAACACAGTGATATACTTCATGTATGAATCAAACATATCGGTATAGTCGATGTATGAAAAAACCTTTTTCTCTACATATAACTTGTCAAGTAAATGACTAATGCATAACAAGCTAGGTCGTCAAATGGAAACCTTTACTGGATTACTTGTGGTCATATCCAGGATACTAGTGGTGAGTACTTCATTCGAAGCTTTGATTTCTCGATGGAGAATTTCAAACATTTTTGTTACCTTCCGAGTAGGAAGAACCACAATTCCGATCTATTTGTCCTCGCGGGTTTATGATGGAGATCGTTTATCCTTATTAAAGCAATGTTTTCAAACATTTAAGATTGATATTTGGGTAACCAAGAAAAATATCGATAGAGGGGACGAGGTAGTGTGGATAAACTTGATGACTTTGCCAAGAACTCAAGTGCCAAGTCATTTTCGACGGTTACATCTCACTAGTTACTTCATCTATGGAAAGACCCTTTTCATGTGTTGTGGTGGCAATGAAGATGAAGTGGGTTGCATCTATATTGTGAGGGATGATCTGTGCAAGAAGATTCCTATAGGTTCTGGACTTGTTCAGTATTGTCACTGACTCACTGTGTTTATACTCCCAGTTTGATCCCTCTTCCTTTATTTTAGAGGTTCGATTGAGTGAAGTGCAAGTCTTTTTTTAGTTGGTATTTTTGTTTTTGGTTTTATTAGGAATCTATATATTGAGTTTGGAAGGTTTAAGCCTCTCCGTTTGAAGTCGGGGAGAAGTCGAGAGTGAAGATTATAGAAGTCATTGTATACCTTCCTTGAATTATTTGCTACGATATTGTCCTTGTTGACCATGATATTGTATACCTTTCTTGATTTTTTTTGTCCATTAATGATTAATTGTATAAATTGTGAACTATTATTTTTTTTTTTTTTCTTTATTTTTTTTTTTAATTTGTGAACTATTATTATTAACGGTGTTGTAACAAATGCGCTAGAGTTACTGTAAGTGATGGACAAAATGATAATGAACGAAACAATTCAATGAATTGAAATATAACGTTAAAGTTGCGTGAACATCGTAACATAACCAACTCCATCGGGAGGTTCTCTCTATTTTATTTCACCATTTTTAAAATAAATTTAATGAAAAACAAAGAGAGAGAGAGTATAGAGGGCTTCTCACTAAAGCATTTTCAGATATTCTTAGAGAACTCTTTAATACACTTGTCTCATTTGGATTGGTTTAATTTTTCTTTTAAATTTAAAATTTAATTATATAATCAAATTTTATTAAAATATTAATATACTTTTACTTTTGAGAAACTCAATGAAGTTCTCACTGATGGAGGTGCCCTAATTATCCATTGAAATAGATATACGTGGTCTACCAATATACCAAGTCATGGACAATAAAGTAAAATATTGTCCACAATTTTGAATGGGTGCAATCATACGTTGGTTATTAAAACTAAAAAAATGAAATCTCAATTTGTTTTTGTGTTATTATTTGAGATTTCATTTTTTCGTTTGTAAGTGGCCATACAAGACATTTACGTTTGACTGCACCATTTTGGGTTGGGTTTCAAAATGGTGCAGTCAAACGTAAATGTCTTGTATATTCAGCTACACAAAGTGAATGAATTATATGGTCACATACATCAATTATATGACGTTATGTAGTCAACACCATAAACATATAATTCGGTCAATTGATTCCAACAAAAATCGGTGTTGACTCTGACATTGACCGATTATTGATAAAAAATTTTTTATAAATTTTATATTTTTTATACTTTCTACGTACCAGTTTCTTAAGATATATCTTTCAACATATACCAATTTTTCGACATATACCAAGAAATTGAGATATATGTACTAAATTTTTTTTCCGAATTAAATAATTAAGATAGTATCTTTCGGCATATAATGAAATAATTAAGATAATTAACATATATCTTTAAAAAATTATACGTACCGGTTTCTTAAGATAGTATCGATAAAAATCCCAATTTTGTAAGGACCTTCCATAGCGATTCTCAATACGCTTTTATTATCTTTATCGTCTCCTGCTAATACTATACATGGTACGTATAATTCTATTCAAACTAATGGTATTGATGCTGCGGAAGATGAAGCCTTGGTCTACGTTGTGTTTGTAGGTGCAAAGAATTAACTTAACCAACAAAAGAACAAGTGTGCAGCGTGCTTGGAATTTAACAAAACCTAAAAACACCGGTTTACTAGGTTTGAAGATCTAAGCCGGTTTTATATCTTGTGTCGGCAAAAAGAAAACGAAATTATTGGTGTTCAACCACCAAAGGCCCATCCATTAAATACATTCTGACGTAGGAGCTGATGTAATGTTTTAGACTTTTAGTCACACACTCACACTCACTGTGGTTTTAGTGTATATATAGAGTCTGGTTTTACCCAAAGTAAAGATAGTAAATCTTCCCTCTAAAGGCTCTCACTCTTATACTTTTCTCTAAATTGAGAGAAGCAAAAAGATGGGAATACTCTCAAACAAAATCTCGAGAGATATGCTAAACCTAGGCGATCACATCTATTCATGGCGTAAGGCATTTGCTTATGCGCATCATGGTTCGATCTCTCTTTCTCTCTTCTTAATTCTTGTATATGCGTTGTTTTGTTTATATAGAACACTTTGCAAAACTTCTATCAAAAAGATAACACACATTGGGGAACATATTGTATTGTTTGCCACAATATTAAGGATCTGTTTTCTTTTGCAATATAAACAAACTATTAATCACTAAAAAGTAAGTGTGTATTTTATTCTAAAGTTTTTTATATATTTATTTGTGATTTTTTTACAGGATTAAACATATATATTATGGTATTTAAAGATTTGTTTTACAGGATTAACATAAAATTAAAATTAGGCTTCTTTATAAGTGTTTTAATTAAATTACATTTTGTAAGTTAAAACACTTAATCAAAATTACACTACTTACAAACATTTCATTTCATGGGTCTGTTAGATTTTTCAAGGAGTGTGTTCTCTCTTTCTCACACTTATCAAGAACCCTAATTTTAGTTTTATCCCCAATTCGAAACGGCGTTGTTTTGTTATGTGCGACTTAACAAAATCGAAGATTGACAAAACGACGTTGTTTTGCTCATCCCAGATGCTTTGTCATTGCCACTCCGTCATAGCCATTGTGTATATATACATCTCAATGAGCTTATATACATATATGTGCAACCTTATTATATATGAATTGTCAATTCTTCCAATCCTTAAACTCAATATTTCGTTAACTAAATGTGGCATGATCTGTAGGAATCCATGTTGGTAATGGAAGAGTTATCCATTTCACTTGTGGACGTGGTCAAGAAACAGGCACCTTCTTGGGCATCATTGCTAGTTCTTCACCAAATCATGGAGTCAACCCATGCCCGACTTGCGGATATAGTTCCCAGCTTTCGGGTGTCTTGTCTTCTTGCCTCGAATGCTTCCTTGCTGGAGGAAGTCTCTACCGCTTCGAGTACAGTGCATCTTCCATTACCTTTCTTGCCAAACCTCGAGGAGGTGCATGCACAACACTGCCATCAGATCTTCCAGATGAAGTAGTTCGCCGTGCAAACTATCTCTTGCAAAATGGTTTTGCTGATTACCATGTTATCACTAACAATTGTGAGAGTTTCGCCATATACTGCAAAACCAGTTTGGTTTTCCAAGACCAAGCTGCAACGAGCAGTCAAGCCTTGTCAGGGGCATGGGCTTTTCAAACTGGTGCTAGTATGATTTTTTCAACAGCAGGAGTAGCTTTTGTAACGACGGGAGCACAAATAGCAGGAGCAGCTTCTGTTGCTGCCATAGCAGGTCCAGCTATTGTATTGCCTTGTTGCTTTGCCGCAGGCACCAACATCCTTCGTCTGATGGGCGACAAAGGCCTGAAACATCAGAGAAAGGTGCCTGTGGAGAGAGTTGTTTCTCAGATTAATGCTGGCAGGGCAAGGAGGCAGAGAGGAGCTTGAGGAAGGCCACTTAACCCATAATTGCCCATACTTTAGTTTTGGATATCCTTTTGCAATTATTGGGGAATAAATTAAAAAACAAATCTGATGTTGTACGTGCCAAAGAAAAGAAGAATGGTGTAGAGAGACAAATCTGTATTGTTTTCGTTAATGAAAATGTGTTTTATGTTTTGTTTTATTTTTGGGTGTGTTGGCAAACTAGATCGTTTTTGAAACATACTAGAAATATAGTACTCACTAATCATAATTAGCAAAATAGCCCAGTTTTACTATTCTGTTTTATAGACGGACAATTGTACGGAAACATATTATTATACATAAAATATTTGTACAATGACAAACAATTACAAAAAAACATGTTTACACATAAACAAATATACATCTATAGACCAGAAAATATTTGTACACATACAATTATACATATATATAGACTGATGTACAGCTGAATTTCCGTACAGCGACACACAGCAACAGTTGGACGTATCAAAATTTGTTTGAAAAATATTTAAAATTATTCAAATAAAATGCATATCAAATTATAGAGAAAAAATATTAATTTTTATGTAACTGAAATTTTATAGAAAACAAATATATTTTGATGAATGTTTTAGTTATTAAATATAAATGATTTTTTAATAGTGTCCAAATAGTATTCAAATGGTAAAAATGTACTACTTCTATAATTATAAATAGTAAATGTAGTAGTTCCATGATTATGTTTCAAAAATGTACTTAAAACCAATTAATACTTCATTTTTCACTAACCAAACGCTAAACTGCATGATGTTATCGAAGCCGAATTTATAAAATTTTGAATGGACCGGCCGGTTCAGTGAAATACAATTACAAATCTTTCTCACTTTTCTCCGAAACCCTAAATTAAGTTCGTGAATATCTATCTTTATTGTCTTTTGTTGCTCTTCTCAAATTGTATAATCGCCATTGTTTGTGGTGCTTCATTGGATTTAGAGAGAAAGAGTGTTGTAATGGTGATGATGATGAGAAAGCTTAAGCTAGAGTTACCATTGAACCAAACGCAGAAGGTTAGGTTTGAGAGAGCTATGGAGCGGCTAAAATTGTTGACGTCGGAAACAAACAACTCTGTTATCGTTGCTGACTCAATCCACGAAGATGCCTTGCTCCTTAAGTAATCTCATTCTTTTTCAGCTTATCTGTTTTTTTTTGTCTGGATTATAATTTTGTTTTCATGGTTTTGATTTTCTTTTTTTTTGAAAAGGGGACATGGAACATCCGAGGTAGATGGTGAGTTGCTTGCGAATGTTTGTGGTGTTATAGTTCACGTGGACAAGCTTGTCTATGTACGTACCTTGCGAGCCAAGTATAAGCCTGAGGTTAGGGATATTGTGGTAGGACGTGTAATTGAGGTAAGGGTTTTGTAATGGTGACTAGGGTTTTGAAATTAGATTCAGAAAGATGATTAGGGTTTATGAATGAATTTTCTTATTTAGGTCTTTCAAAGCTGTTGGAGAGTAGAGCTCAACTCTAATCAAGATGGAGTACTGAAGCTTTCTTCCATGAATATGCCTGATACTGTTCAGGTTACAATTTGATTCCCTAATAGTTTGGTATATTACATTGTTTGTTAAGGTTCAATGATGTAAACGTTTCTTGATGTTGGCAGAGGCGAAAAACGTCTGCTGATGAACTCAATATGCGAGATATCTTTGTAGAAGATGATGTCGTTTGTGTAAGTCTTATAGTCCATCTCTAATTATCTTCATGTTTTGAACACAAGACCTAGGCTGATTCCTTTGTTTTGGATATAAACTCTAGGCTGAAGTTGGATGTATTCACCGCGATGGCGGCTTAGAGCTTCAAGCTTCAAGTCACAAGTATGGCAAGGTTGGTGATCTTATCTGACACATTAGTCTAAGTTATTTGCTTCCTCTCTAAATTAATAATAAGACTAATCAATGTATTCATTTTATAGCTTGAAAAGGGAGAGCTACTCAAGGTTGATCCTTACTTGGTTAATAAAAGCTACCATCACTTTCACTATATAGAAAGTCTTGGGATTGATTTAATACTTGGCCGCAATGGTTATATTTGGGTTGGGGAACACGTCCAAGTCCAAGATCCTTTGATTGTAGAAACAAGAAAAGAACAAAGCCATACTCCACTCGAGACTCGGCAAAACATTCTAAGAATTGGGAATGCGATACGGGTCTTGTCTAATCTAGGCTTCACCATGACTAAAGAAGTGATTATGGAAACTAGTAACTTAAGCAACAAGGAAAATATTGACTTACATGACATGCTTGGATCAGAGTTTCACGTTTTGGTCGCAGAGAACGAAGCTGGAAGAAGAAGATGACGTGCATTAAGGAAAAATGTGAAAGCCCTATCGTAACTATGTTTTAAACACTTTTAGAAATTCCGGATGCATGTCTAACTTTTTTCGTCAATGATATTTTGACACATTTTGACACTAACAACCAATTGTTTCTAAACCCAATTAAGCTTCTCAATTACGTTTAAAAATCAGTAATTCGCGTTCACTAAATCGCTATTAGAGTAAAATAGAGTTTAATCCTTAACTGGACTAGGGTCAAAGGAAACTTGTATGATCAAATTACACGACACATAAGTCATTTAATGTAAAGAAAAAACTTAGCAAGCTTGCAAACTGCGAGCTAGCAGCTAGATACCAAATTTATATTTGTCGGAAGAACCTCTAGCTTTGAGCATCCTTCCAAGCTAAACTTCGTCAACATACGAAGGTTTCCAAAAGAGGACGGTATCTCCACAAGACTTGAGCATCCATTGAGATTTAACTTCAAGAGATTAGTTATATTTCCAATAGAGGATGGGAGCTCCACAAGTTTTGAACAACCCTTGAGATTCAAAATTTGGAGATTAGTAAGATTTCCAATAGAACATGGGAGGTTCACCAGATTTGAACATCCACTGAGATACAATTCCTCGAGGCTAATAATATTCCCGATAGATGAAGGAAGCTCCACTAGACTTGAACATCCAGCAAGATACAATTGCTGGAGATTAGTGATATTTCCAATAGATGAGGGAAGTTCCACCAAACTTAAGCATAGCACAAGATTCAGTTTCTTGAGACTAGTAAGGTTTCCAATAGATGAAAGAATCTCCACTATATATACTACTCCAATAAGGATCAATTCCTTGAGATTAATAAGATTTACGATAAAGGTCGGAAATTTCACCAGACTTATGCATTCACTAAGATCCAAGCTTTGAAGATTTATAAGATTTCCCATAGATGAAGGAAGGTCCACCAAATTTGAGCATTCACTAGCATCCAATTTTTGGAGATTATGGAGATTTCCAATAGATGAAGGAAGCATCACCAAAGTTGAGCACTCAATAAGAATCAGTTTCTCAAGATTAATGAGGTTTCCAATAGAGGAGGGGAGCTCTACAAGACTTGAGCATCCATATAGATTTAATTCTTGGAGATTAGTAGCTGTTGAGAGATCTGGAAGCTCCTTTAGATTGCTAGAACCATACAAATTCATCACCCTGAGATTTCTAAGCAGCTTCAAACAAATAAAGACATCACAATGAAACGAGTTTAGACTTTAGATATGTGGACCTAGTGGATATAAAAGAAATAAATAGAACTTTGAGTAAAAATGACAAGTAACTTACTTGGTTTCCTTCCCATAATTTTTCGAGCTTGCTATCATACATTTTAATCTTGACAAGGAACTTTGTAGTAAATTTAGAAGGCAAACATGATAGTGGATAGTTATCCCAACGTAGTATTCGAATTTTCGGAGGTAGATAGTTTAGATCTTGTGGTAAATGCACATTCTTCCAACTATCACCGTAGTTACGGAACCTTAAAAATTGAAGATTAGACATCTTTTCAAAAGCTCTCTTACTAATATCTAGTTTGTCTTTGATCTCACAAAAGTCCAAATTTATTCCTATAACACTTTCACTACCCTGCAAAATGACACAAATTTATAAGAACATATAGAGGCTTGGCTACCAAATGTATTAAATGTAAAAAGAGAAAAACTTACTGTGTCATCCGTAAGTACTTCAGAAATCTCCATAGCGTCAACTAAAAACTGCCGTTTACCCGGCTCATAAATCGATTGGTTGCGAACAATATCTCTACCCAATTGGACTAATAGATTATGCATCGGATACATTATTTGGTTGGATATAAGAGATCTCTGAAGTAAGACCCTATGCCCTTGCCTCACATCCGAGAATATGTTTCCAAGAGTACCTTCAATGATTTCAGTAATGCCTTCATCATTGAAAAAGCAAGCTATTTGGAGAAATAAATATTTATCTTCCTCATCTAAAGCATCATAACTCAATTTTAAAATGCTTCCGATTTCTCCGTCAAGGCGAATCCTTAGCCTTGGTAGTTCCACTTCCCATTCTTTCTTGCACATTCCTTGTAAATGAGAACCCATAACCCTAAGTCCCAAAGGGAGCCTACCAACAAGTATTGTAACTTCCATAGAAAGCTTCTCGAAACCATTATAAGGGGAATCCTGACCAAAAGCATTCATGCAGAAGATTTGAAGAGCTTCATTATGTGGTGGATAATCCACATCGTAGATATGTTTGACCCCGAACGTCTTTAACAGTTTTTGATCTTGTGTTGTGATGATAATCCTAGATCCAGGTCCAAGGAATTGAGCTTTAGGCATGGCACGTAATTGTACTGATTGATTCACCCCATCAAGAACAATAAGCACTCTCTTTCCCATCAAAAGTCTTTGTGCAGTTCCTAAATGACGAAACTTGATATCTTCTTGGTTAGTTAACTGAGATAGAAGCTGCTGCTCTAAGTGCAACTTCACATCATGGTCATCAGAACAAGTTGTTCTTGAATAGATAGGTTTCAATTTCATGAAAACACTTAGTTGAAAACCATGGGAGATTTGATTATATAGAATCCTAGCAATGGTTGTCTTGCCAATTCCAGAAGGACCCCAAATTCCAATAGTCATCCTTTCATCTGAGCCTAGGCAAAGCAACTGTTTCGCCTTTTCCATACGAGCTTCCATCCCAATTAAACCTTCAAAATCATTTGATGGTATGGAATTTATCAACCTTTTGGAAATTTCGGTGACAATTTCTTCAATAATGACAGCTTCATTGTCCCTAGAGAGATAGATAAAACAGCTAATAAGGCTAATCATTATAATTTAACATATTGGTTCGAAAAGTTATATACATATAGTTTGATGTGTTGAAAGATTGAAAGCGAACCAGTTTCTTGAATCATAACCAGCTATTGTGGCCACTTCCGCAAAAGCTTTTCTCCATCTCCCAATGTCCTCCTTTGTTCTACCCGCACAAGTTTTCTCAAAGACAGCTCCGAATTCTCCAGTCAAATTCTTGACATGGGATGGATCAACTTCGTAGAAAATGGCAAACACTGTTTGACCTAACTCTCTCTTGCACTTCATAATCTCCGCTAATTCTTCAATACACCACTTGGAAGAAGCATAATTCCTCGAGAGCAGGACGATAGCGATCTTAGATCCTCTAATCGCCCGAATAAGTTCAGGACCGATGGACTCTCCTCTCTTGATATCATTATCTATGAACGGAGTGATTCCCCTTCTCTGAAACTCCTTCTGGATGTGACTAAGAAAGTTTCTGCGGACGTCTTCACCACGGAAGCTTGGAAAGACATGATGAGTCGTCCAATTGAAAGAAGATGGAAGAGATGAAGAAGACAAAGAAGATGAAGGCGATGATGAAGAAGAAGAAGAAGAAGAATCATCCAAATCTTTATTTTCTTGATAGAATCTGAATTTTCTATAAACCATGAAAAATAATGAAACCAAAAACGTGAAGAAGCAAACTGCAGCAGCAAGTGTGGTAAGGAGAAAAGAAGAATCCATTAGTATATGATCGAGAGAGGAACAAGAACAGAGCAAATAAAATTCTTGCGAAATTGAAAACTCTTATCAAAACTTCAAACTAGTGGTTTGTGACTATTTCAAATCTTCATGTTATTTTAAGCATTGTACGAGTTTACGCGATTGTAAAGATAATATAGATTTTTAGGGTCAACGTCGTAGAGGTTAATGACTATGAAGAACATGATATAATCTGAAAAATTTAACGATTAGAAGCTAGTTTACGTAACATATTATATATCAACTTTTGTCATTAGATTCAATTAAAAAATATATAGGTAATAGGTTTTGAAATTGCTTAGGCCACACTACGAAACACAAAATCTCAAGAAAACATAAGACCATCATTTTCAGTGACCTCTTAACAAATTCTTAAGGTAAGAGTAGTTAATGAAAGTTAAGAAAAGTTAATAAATGTATCTTTATCTAAGTGATATTTACTCACTTTTCTTAACTTTTCTTACATTAAGATTTGTGTAAGACCATCATTATCGAGACAAATCTTAAGATTTACTAAGATAAGAGCCGTTTCTTAACAAAACCTTTAAGCTAAGATTTGCTTAAGAAATCCTCAATAATGATGTTCTAACACAAACAAATTGCTAAAGAGAACTCGAGCCCATGATTTCTCAAGGCCGGCCTTATTTTATAGTAATCATCTTTTAGACCAATTATTTTTGAAAATTTTCTCATTAAGTTTTATTCATATGTTTATATTTTTCTATATGTTGTACCATGATAAAGTCATGCAGATCCAAACATCAGCAATTAAGGAGACAGTTGGTGTTGTTACAGTTTAAAAATCAAAATAATTATGTTCAAAGAAAAGTGATATTCTTGTGTACATAATAATTCCCTTATACAAGGCGAAATAAGCTCATTCTTCATAACCATACCACTAATAATCCCATTTACAATCTGATTTCACATTTGGATTCAAACAGAGGAGAAATTATGGATAGTTCATATTAGTAAAAGAAATGGATTTTTTAGGCACAAAGTTAAGAGAAGTGATCAAATGGGTTTTGCTTTATTTCATTTTGTTTGCCTGAATAAATGATTGCTCTTTTTAAGGAAAACTAAATTTTTATCATCTAAAGACCAAATTGTGACAAGTCTTGTCACAAGGATAAGGACAGTCTATGAGCTTTGCTCCACCTCTTTCAAAATACCAATCTCCCACAGCTACTGCAATACCCTGTTTGAGTAGTATACACAAACATCAATAACACTTTGGGATTATATCACATTTTGCATAAAATATGTGTTTTTGTCTTACCTTGTTCTTAACGATTGGAGAGTTTTTAGCATACCATGTGTCATGCCTCTCTGTTTGGCAATGAGCAAAGCACGAGTTAAGGAACACACCGTTCTTTCTCGGCGTCGCGAAACCTTTTACCAAATTCACCATACGCGTCCTGAAAGCTATTTACACAAAGTTTCAATGCAAAACATATAGCTCAGTTTTGGTTTTTATTCGAAATCAAGAACATTAGTTAGCTCATGTTTCACCTTGCAAGAACTGGATCTGAGATGGACTACACTTAGCGTAGTTAAGTCTACAGTCATTCCAACTTCCACTTGGATCTACAGATTTAGGAGCTAAGCTCTCTTGGATCTGTAACAAATACAATATTATATCAAAAGGACACATTTTGCCTTTATTGATAAAGCTGAGGATATAAAGAAGAGACTTTATTGACTAACCTGCCATGAATCATATGCAGCATTTAGAATAAACAATGGAGTCTTAACTTGGTTGATTAAGTTTTGTGGGAAAAAACACTGAAAAATATTAAAGCATGGAGTACATGTTTCAGGGGATCGAGCTTACTCTATTTGGAATTTGCTTCATTATAAAGATAGCTAAAAGAAGAGAACATATACCGAAGTTGGATTAAGACGGTCTAAACAGTCCCGAGGAAGCATGGTTTGCAGATTCTGTAAATTAAAATGTTGTTAGGATCATCAATCGTAAGTTAGAAGCGACATAAAGTAATATAAAAGGATTATAACCGATCCACTCATTGCCAATTCGTTTTGAGTCAAAACTTAACAGAATTACACAATTCCCGAGACAAGACATTCTATGTTCTTACCTGTAATTTTACCACTCCAGCATATAAACGCCTCAGCGCTCGACCGCCCGACACATCGATGCTTCAGTTACAGAAATAACAAAAAGAGTCAATATGTATATACCAAAGTCATGACTGATACTTGTAACTCAAGGAAACTAGCAAATTCACTCACGCGTCGAGGAAGAAACCAGCATCACTCAGACATTTCACTCTGGTGGAAGGAGGAAACAATTTCCCGAAATCATCACATCGGAAGATCGCGGCAAGGCCTCCAGCAGAACATCCAGAGAGCAGAGCCTGCTTAGCTTGATGCATTCCTTTTCCCATTAACTCTTCCATAGCAGCTAACCAAATTCTCTTTCCTCTAAACTGAAGTTTTGCAGCCTAATTCGTTGCCAAGATAATTATAAAACAATCAATCAATGTTACTTACACAAGCAAGTTACCAAATTCAATTAGTGTTTTCAAGAAAAGCTAACCTTATTTTCGCTGTCTCCACTAAATGATCCACCGTCACAGTACCGAACTTTAACTCTATTCCAGTTATAAAAGTCTGCAAGCAGAACATTACCAAGAAACATAAACATCATATCATAAAGATTGATTCATCAGAAAGGGGAGCTATAGACAAAGAACCTGGATTTTCCGCGGCTTGGTCGCTTAAAATACCGGTAAATGGTATCTGTTTCTCCATGTACGAAGACGATCCACGCCTACTGGTTTTACGGTATACACAATTTCTAACTGTATCACACCATCCACCTCCCTGTCAAAACATAAAACCATCATGTCACTGACCAAAACATTGTCATATTCTATATTACAAGAAAACGTTTTAGCTGCACAAACCTCTAACTGAACGAGCCAGTTGTTCGCTCCTGAACCAGAACCGCGATGCAAGTGATATCCGGGAAGACTTCCATCCAGACACACTGACAAGAAATTGTAAACTGTGTAACAAGAAACATATATTATCCAAGAGACAAGTTATAAAGAAAGAAGATGTTACCAGCTCCTTTAGCAGCAGCAGATTGAATCAAAGTGAGACCAACCATAGGAAACTTAGCTTCAGAGTAAACATCACTTTTAGTCTGAAACATCTTTGTCCCATTGAACTCAGTGAACCACTCCATTTCATCAAACTCCATCATCATCCCATTCACAGGGATGTTTAATAGAATGATCCCAAACAAACTCCATAGAAGCTTCTTCATTTCCCACCTCTTCTTGATCATGGCTGGGATGGTTTCAGACTTTGATCACAAACCTTAGTTTATATGGAGGATATGAGAGAGATAATAACATTAATTACCAGACGTTTTGTTTAATATTTATTACCAGACTAAGAAAGAGACTTAACTGAGATAGTTAAGATTCCAGATCAAGATCTTGCCAAAGTAAAATATAATTTTGGTTAACCTTTAGATCAGATCTTAGAATGTTGCAGACTGATTGCAATTATTTCAGAGCTGACCAAAACAATTCTATTCCATTCACACATATATAATTTGTTTGTAACCTTTAAAGCTTAAACCAATCGTTTAAGATATTTTTTTGGGAAATTATTTAAGTTTAGATTCTTATGAAGCTGCCACCTTATTTGTCCTCAGTGGTGTGATTATATCATTTTGGATTCTTGTGTTAATTATTTCCTGTATCTTCCTATGACAATCATTTTCAATGTGTTAACATCGTCACTTTATACAATTCTTTTACGTGTAAGAGATTGAGATTACCGTTTAGAGCCACATGATTAAAAAGCTGATGTGTGTCTTAATCCTCAAATGTCTTGTCTTAACCTGTTTTTGTTGGGTTGGGAAGGGACAAATTTGTGGATTGTGACATTGATGTTCTTCTTTTCACTGGTCTCAATCGTACCTAAAGCTGTCAAAACTCGGTAGTGGAACTCGATCATCAAAGGTCATACTCTGTTCACTTATAGCACTTTTTTCTTTTCGTTTTCTAATTATCTCTTTTGGCTTAAAAGGCTTCTCACAAACTGGATTATGTTGCTTGCAACCTACCCTGACTATCTTATGTTGCTTGCAACCTACCCTGACTATCTTATGTTGCCTACGGACGCATAAAGAGACTTGGTGTCTTACCATCATATCGGTGCCTTGAAGGCGAGTCTTTAGCGACACAGAATAACCCGTGAACACCAAAAGAGGCAAATCTTGATGGAATCGGCAACCTGAGGTATGTTTTTCTTCGGGGGAGATAGTTTTGGCTGGGCTACACTGAATACCGCCACACCACCTGGTTGTTCCAACCATCAGAGCTAAGGTAAGGAAGATCCTGCCCTAAGTTGAATTCTGCTTGATATACGAGTCAATAGAAGTTGTGATATGAATTTGATTGGTGCCAACAGTGTTTCCGGCTGAAAAGAATCTACGGAATGCAGATAGTACCAGTAAGGACCTGGACTGGTATAGGAACACAAATTCATAGGTCTAACCGTCGATGACGACTATGCAGCCGGAGACGGCACAAAATCATTCATAAATGCACAAGATCAATTAGGACAATCTGGCTGCATCCACGCCTGAGGATTTGAGCACAAACTTGTTTGGTGTATGATTAAAGTGCAGAGTTTCTTTCATTTACCAGATACCTTTCAACAGCATTCAATGGGCTTTTATAAACTGCAGGTGGTCTGTGATCATCCATCCAAAAGCCTTTGCCAAAGTTGATTTCATTTTTGATTCTTCCAGCAAGGACACACTCAGTTAGCCCGACCAAAATTTTATACAATATGTAACAATAGTGACATTACTTGATTATAATTGAAGAGACTACAACTCTTTGCCTCAGCTACTTCGGGCTATGCACCCCACTTCTCAAGTCTTGGATGTGGAACATCAGCTGCAAAATAAAGAAAGGAGAGTTGGGAGCATTCCAACAACATCTAAAGACTACCTTTGTACAATATGATATTCTGTTTTGAGCATTTAGAATAGCAGAAAATTAATGCACTACCTTTGTACCCACGTACAGGCTAAAGAACACGCCGCCCAGAACAGGTACTCCTGTGATATTGAATGGATGAACATTATTGAATAGCCGCGTCTGACAAAGAACTTAAATGCAGACTGATGATATACCTTCTCTCGTAAGAAAGCTGGAGACCAACCAGTTTATACCTGATGGTCCAATGACATAGCCAGCAAGATTTGCAATCTGCAATTGAGGGACTCAATCTTATTTGTCAGCATGAAGGTGACTACAGCAATTGGACATAAGAATATTCAGCGTAAGCTATTTACCATGAGACACATGATTGTGACGGCACCAGACAAAGCCTTGAGTTCACGAAGGAGGAATTCTCCTAAAGCACTCTCAACCTGCAACAGTACTGTTCATGTTAACTACAATTTCCACGAACAGGAAACCAAATCACAAAGGACAAGGAGGTTCTATTTTTCTTTGGGACAAGATAACTAGCTCCAAAACATATCATGTCTAGTCAGACGCATTGCCCACTCTATACCATCATAATAATGTCTGATAGTATAACAAAGTCATTCTTCAAGTGTTAGCATGGTAAAAACTTCTTTACTTGGAACTTGTAGAGATACTAAAACGGCATTGTTTAACTGACCTTATATGCATTGGATGCTGATTTCAGTAACATTTCTGGCATGAAGAATAAACATGTTAACCATGCCCATGAAAGAAGCTTCCTGGTTGCAAACAAAACAGTCAACAATATGAGAAGTTGGACCATATAATTCATACAACGCAAAGGAATCATAGGAATTAAACAGATTACCATTCCAAATCGTGCCACATGGCAACAAATGTAAATACAACCCACACATTCAGAAACTTTCTTCGCGATCCACCTAGAGGAATATACATATACCTAAAGGAAGATGTAACTTACTAATTTACGAGCTGACATTAAAAGAAAATAATGTAGCGACGTTTTAAGTTGAAACCAGAAGTGTGGCGTTAAACATCTCACCTGATAAGCCACCTATTAAATGAAGCATGCCAGGTTTTCCAGAACAATTCCAGGCTGTAGCAATTGTTAATGCAATTTGGCATGTTCTCTACAGTTTCAATGCCATTCACCTAGAAGAATATGTTTGCATTATTACATATCAGAACCGTATACTGAGTGATTTATCCAGAGATAATTCTTGGAATTTCTAGCTTGTAGCCATGAACGCAGCAACAATTCAAAATTGCTTGCTATTGAAATTTCATAGACCAGAACATCATCAGTACAAAGGACTAAGCCAACTACTCTACACCTGCTATTATATTTTTCCACCAAAAGATCATAGAATCAAAAACGGTATCAAGATCTTGAAGGGACATACCAGAGACCAAAACCGGAAATATCTCCATAAAAGAAGGAACTTAAGCCACATGAAGTTTAGCACCTGCAGCAGTACAAATAGCCCTACATATCAGTTTCGGGTTCTCTACAATAAAAAATCAAAGTACACAACTAAAATTGGTAAGAGCCTCTTGAGCTGTTATTAGATTGTCTAGTAAGAGTGGTTGTTCTGCCAAAAGAAAAACATAACACAAACATCAATAATATCTTACTCCATATCCGACAATAAATATTTCCACAGGAGATAGTTCTCTCCACAGACCACTGTCACAAATGCAAAGAAGTTAGAATTTTGTATAACTGAAAGATTTTGAAAACATAACGATAAGTGTAATTATTATCCTAGTCCTGAAAGAGTTTCACCTGATCACAAAGGCATTGTAATAAAATAAGTGTGTAATAAGTTCAATCAGCAAGAAGCTCAATAACCAACGCACTCCATACCGAGCAACATCTTTGAATAAATGAGTATTCTGTGGCGTATCTAGCTGTGAGAATATAGGTTTGTAGTGAGAGATCATGACGACAAGACCCACTATGAAAAAAGGTGTGATTCTTTATGATTATCTATACTCTTATCAATAGTAAATGGAAGTCTATTCAAGAGAGCCAGAGTTCGGGATCTTAAAAACAAACAAAGACATGAAAGGAATAGAAAAGTGAAGGCATGACAAGAGTCGCAGACCTGAGAAGCAAATGCATTAAAGCTTATGATTGGCCCCGCAAGGTACAAGGGTGCATACACCAAATAACAAAGGTATAGAGAAAAACTGTAGCAGTCACTTGCAAGGCCTCTCTCCTAATAAGTTATACCACGTTGAGATGAGTTATGCATAGCGAAAGAAGATTAATCATAGGAGTGAAATAGTGGTGCCATGCAGTCAACCTGTCGAAGTACATAGCAGGTCTTCCCCAACTTACATAAGGAACATCGTGTTACATGTTTCTGCAAGAACATTATAACAAAATAAGAGATGGCTACGCCATATGCTAGTCCTCACTGATCAAGGAAACAGTATACACAGGAGATAAACTTAGAGAAATTAATAGGAACTAAGAATATCAGCAGCTCTTGTCTACATATGCCAGGAGAACAATATGGACTTAATTTTGTGGATGATATGTTATTTCTCAAACACAATGCTAAATTACCACAAACACTCATTCCAAAACTACTGAGAGACTAAGCTAAAGAATTATCAAAAAGAACGGAGTGTTAAATAGGGAAACAATACATATCAAGAAAGGTAACACACCTCCTGATCAAAATGAGAATCCAGTTGGCCCCAGTGATAATCATATCCAAAGCTTATCATGCGCAGAACAACTGTAACAAAATTACAAGTGGGAAACATACTGCAATCAGACTTCGTTTTTCAAAGATAAAGAGAAATATTGTAGTCAAGGGTAACTTGATAAATAAAATACCAAAGTTGAAGCATATATGCCATCTAAATGTGCCCCGAAAGTTGTCCAGGAATTCAAACTGTTGCCTTGGACAAAGCGAGAAACAATCAAAAAGTTAGGCTTCACTGCAACCACACAATAGCTCCAACTATCTGTCAAATATGAGATGTACATGACTCACCCGAAAATGGAGAACGAATATCCTTCATAAATGCGATTGCAGAAGAGAAAAAATATGTTGAACGTCCAAAGCATGTAAGGAAAGTATGTTGTTCGTGCAAAAAACTGCATAAATGTATACAGGGTGAACTTTGATCAGCACACAAAATATCAAACTGAGAAGTAGACATAATGAGTATATGCCACAAGAAGCTACGATATGCTCTGCCCTTCATTCTACATACTCTTACGATCCAAACTATCGATATACCAAAATTTCTGTCAAGAGGTTAATTGAAAAGGAAACATACCTTAACAAGAAGGAAATTGGCTGTTGCAATCGAGAGAATGTAAATGACGCTGGAAGTGAATGCGGAAACAACTCAGCTTAGATACAGAAAAGTTAAGAAACAATGCGATGCTAGGAAGCAAACAAAAAGATATGTAATCAGGATTTACCAAGCTCCATGTAAGTAAACCAAGTATATAAACGACAAGGAAAGCCACAAGATGGCCATTCCTTTAGCTTTC